ACCGTGCCACCAGACCTTCAGAATGCCTCCACCATGCTCTCTCCTGAGTTTTCTGCCTCCGTTCTCTCTCTCTCTCTCTCTCTCAGCTTTTTTTATTGTGGATTGAGTCAATGTCCTTCATTCTTGCTCACGTTTTTACTACCATTCTTGACCCCCCTTAGGTATCTACCCTTGCCCACAAAGCTATAACGCCTGGGATAGCTCAGAACTGGACCCCGAGAGATTCCGCAGAGAAGAATTAATGCTACAGAGAAAAAAGCTCATAAAGGGTAAGATACCAACGGGGGCTCCTGGCTCCTTTGCCTGCCTTGTCACACCTAGCCACCAACCTTCCAGCTGACGTAGGAAGGACCTTCTCGAAAGTTCTCAGGAGAGGTTCTCTCCCAAACTCCACACTGGCCTCGAGGGCACATTTTTCTAAGAGTAGGTGCCAGGTACTGGGTGCCTGCTCTGTGCTAGTCCTGTGCTGGGCTCCTCCATCTTTTGATTTAAACCTCAGAACAGCCAACAAAGGAACCCACGCTCCTTAGGCCCGTTTGCAGGTAGGAAACTGGAGTGCAGCAGATAAGCAGCTTGCCCAAGGTGACCTGTCTGTCTGTTCCACTCTGCAAGCCTCGGGGAGCATGCGCCTCCGGCGCTGCGCTAAACAGCAGGGAGACGCTGGGCAGCGTGATGACTGGACAGTGCCTCGGGCCCTGTGATGGGACACGGGGTGCGGAGGCAGTCCAGGGAGGGGCGCCAGCCAGTCCACCTTGAGAAGTTTGGGAAGGTGACGTCGAAGCTGAGACTGGAAGGGTGTGCCTTTGCAGCAATGAACAGAAGAGGGCCCATTGCCGGCCTATGAGATGGGTCACCATCCCACCAAAGGGGGCGCGGAGGCTCAAGCTCATGACTGAACTCCAGAAAGACACGCGTGTGGGCAAGACAAGCGCTTTCACCCGATGGGGGGAGTCTGTCTTTCTTCATAGAGGGCACCCCGGGGGCAGCAAAGCTTTTATGGCCAGGAATCCAGGACCCCGGAGGCAGACTGCTGTTGTGAGGTGCCACCGGGTTGGTTCCGACCCATGGCGACCCCGTGCCCAACAGAGCGAAGCGTGATCTGGTCCTGCTCCGTCCTCACAATTGTGCCTGAGCCTGAGCCCATTGACGCAGCCACTGAGTCGGTCCATCTCCTGGAGGCCCTTCCTCCTTGTCGCTGCCCCTCCACTCTCCCGAGCACGATGTCCTCTTCTGGGGACCGGTCTCCCTGGACAACACGTCCACAGCGTGTAAGACAGAAGCAGACAGCATCTGGATCATGAAACCCCCTAGTGGTGTGAGGGCACTTTGGAGGGGGAGGCCAGGGTTGGGGTGGGGTGGAGCAGGGGTGAAGAGAATATATAATGTAATATAATGAAATATAATGTAAATGGCTCATATATCAGACAATGCGTCTGAACCCATAGATGTTAGCTGATGAACGGAAAAAAAAAATTGGTGTTTATAGATCTTGATTGTTTTTTTCCCGGAGCCCTTGAGCTGTTGACTGGGGTGACCCGCATCTTGCAGACGAGCAATTGAGGAGCAGAGAGGTCAAATGTCCGCCCTGGTTGAGGAGTCATGATCTTGCACGGTCCAGGGAATAACCTCATGCCTTTGGCCATCTTCGGCCTCTCTGACCCGCTTCACCCCAATCGAAAATCCTCAGGGTGTTGACAAGGCTGTGTTAAGAGGCAGAGCAATCTCATGCCGGAGGGAGGGTCTCCCCTCTGGAAGGGGCCTCAGCAGAGCTGCCAGCCTGCTGCCCAGAAGGCCCTACGTGGCGGGAAAGGTGGTTGGACTGCCCCCTCAGGGCCCTCTGGAGCATAGGAGGTCCATAACCAAGGGATGGGGAACGGTGAAGATGGCCTATGAGGCCACAAGGGCAGTGGAAGCTCATTGAGATCCGAGCACAGAGGCAGCGAAGGTTGGAGCAGAGGGAAACCCCAGGCGGGGTGCGTCCCAAAGTTCATGCCGCACTATCTAGCAGCCGGCATTTGCAGCTACCCAACTTAGACTGGGAAGGCCCAGGAGACGCATGGCTGTGGGGTAGGCCACATTTAAGATACGGATACAACCGCACGGTGGAAACATCCAGCTCTGGGGGAGGCAATGGCTAGGAGTCTCAGGTGGGCACGTTGTAATGCTCTGCAGCGGAGTGTGCAAGGAGGACATTCTATGGGTGGGAGGTGGGAGAAGGGGCTCAGAGGTGCCAGAGGAGCCCAGCGAGAACCGGCCATGGCCACGGGAGGCTTTAATGGGGGATGACCAGCCAGCTGCCACCCAGAGGACCTCAGCAGTGAGGACACACACACACACACACACACA